CTTACTTCATCACTTCTACCTTATGTGCTAAAGAGATTGTCAAGAGATTAGAAAAATCTCTATGCTCTACCCACAATATCCAAACATATTTATTGTGTGGTTTACAGTTCGTATATCTTGGCTCAAAGGCCATGTGCTCGTCCATAAACACGTAGTTTATTTGGACAATTATGACATTTTCTTAAACAAACAAGAGATTGTTGGTATGTTTTAAAAATAATAGTACTGTACGGTGTGGCTTGTTTGAAGTTAGTTTTGATGATGGTGCAATAATGATGATCATAAATATGGCTCAAATTGGGCCCAAGATTGATGTACCAACTGTTTTTTTTTCGCTATTATTAGATAATGATAACGTCCTTATGGATTTTTCTAAGTGGTTACTGTGAGGTGTTTCTCCAAAGTTTGATCTAAGAAGTGTCCCTCCAGGCTAGAATAGAGTAGTAGGCTACCTTATATTCTGTAATTTGCTTTACTTGATAGATCACATGGTAGATTAGGAATAGATTACTTGGTAGAGTACTTGGTAATCTACTATACTTTGGATTTCCAAAAAGTTAAAATTTTTATAACTTACTAATAAATGAAGACCGTAAGAGTGTTACCGTCTCATCATTTATAAGCAACTTTTAACAAAGTTACGGCTTTGTTTTAAAGTCTGCCTAAACAAAGTTAAAGTTTAAGGCTTAAAGTGAGCCGACGCCAAAGTGATCATAAACTGCGTAAATGTTTGATGAGATCAAGCAAGGACCTGATTTGGTCTCAGTTATTCATCATCTTGTATACATCGGCTTTAACTAGCTGCGTTTCATCTAGCACAATAATAATATAGAAAGAAGAAAAACAGAAACAGAACAAATAAGCGACAATCATTTAATATCTGATCTCACTGTTTTTGGATCAGTGTAGTGCTTGAAATGCTTCTTGAGTTAATTTATATATTGGAATTAAGAAACTTGCCTTTAAAAATACATTAAATTAATTCCCAAAACAGGGTTTTTAGCTAAATTATTACAAATGGCTAGCTGGCCAGTGATACATATATATTTTTTGTCCTAAAAAAATCATGCTTTAATTATGAGGATTTTGTTTTGGTACATTGTTACATAGCCATTTCCAAGTTCACCTCAGTATGACATTAAAATGGTGTTTTTGCCTTCCTAATTATATTCTTAGTACTGCTATTGATCATGCCTATCAAATACAGCATTAGTAGTATATTAGTGATTTACAAGTGTCTGATTAAAGGTTAAATCATTGTTTTTTCCCATCCCATTTGACTATGAAAATTTTGCAAATCAAAATTTATTTCCAATATCTATAATCATCCTTAAATTGACCCGTTCTTACATAACAAGAACTCATTTGTTATTGCCATCAACGTTGTTAAGCTAGTACATACTAAACATCAACACATAACAAATGTATTATCTTTAAAATTCATTGTTTAATATTGCCACGCGAAAAAAAGAAAAACAAAATAGGTCCAAGGACGCAGCCTTGTGGAAGCCCGCGAGTAAACACTTGTTGCGGTGCAATAAACGCGGTAATTCCCAGCTGTAAATCAGAACAGACGGCGAGCGGACATGCAGACATGAGTGATTGACATAATCCCATGGTGCTATGGGGGTTCACGTCGTGAACGTGAGGCTTCCATAGACCTCCAGGCTTAGACGGAGGCCCTTGTGAGACAAGACTGAGGAATCCGCCTGCCGCCTCCTAGCTTTTTCTCACAGACGATTCTTGTTTTCTTTATTTCGTCCGAAAAAGGCGTCCTCGCTCTCCCCGCTATTGTTCCACGTTACGCTCCAGCGCCACTGTAAATAACGCTTTCATCGCGTATGTATCTGGAGTAGGCAGTAAGTCATGGTGCATATGGTGTGACCATGTGGCAGGAGTCGGCCACCTTGGGAGGTGCGGGAGGAAATGTGGAAAAGTGGATTTGTGTGTGAATCAGTTTATTGAGTAAGCTTGAATTCTTTATGTTTTTGGTGATTGCTGAAACGAAGACTGGACTTGGAATGAACGATCATAGTTGAAGATGTGCTGGTCTTAGTACCAAATGCATACTGGTAACACGTAAAGGTTTACACCAACCCTGCATACATACTCAGAATAAAATACGCGCACAAATACGTTGCTATTGTAATCAAGCGATTTAGTGATTTAAACGATCGAATAATTACATAAACTAGGTACATTAAATAAAAAGTGTGCTTATGAAGAATTATTTTCTTGAAATAAAGATTATGCTATTATTGTTAGTTACCGGTGGTTGCTCAATTAAACAAAAATATTACGCAAAATGCAGACATGTAGTTGCATATATTTAACTTCGTGGCCTTTAACGTGAGGTAAAACAACATAAGGTACACAAGGTATCTAACTCCATTCTACCCTCATTATTCACTTATCCTTCACTTCAAATATGTAGTATTGTGTCCTCGTCTTAATTCAATAATGATTTAAAGTAATTAAAACACTACGGAGGAAACATTATCACCCTTTACCTTTTACTCTTAAACGACTCGGGTAAAAAAAGTGAAGTGTGTAAAACCAGTCATATTTAAAAGGCCACCAGATGAGCCTCAAGGCTGATGAAGAACGAGAACATCCAAACAGCCGTGGATTAACGTTGAGATTTCCAAAATGCATCTTTCATCACCGTCTAGAGAGTTTTTGACTAGATCAGGCGATGACATGTAGCAATCATCCAGCATCTGGGTCCGGAGCATCCTGGGCTCATCTGAACCGTTCGTGCCTCCGGGCAGACGTTGACTGGTCGGTTTGGAAAACAAATATGAATTGTAAATAGAAGAGACTAATGAGTTGGGGTAGGATTCATTCATCTTTGAACAGCGTGGGCTGCTGACCAGTTGGGAGATAAATTGGAAGTCGTACTTACTGGAGATGCAGTGGAACTGGACGAGTGTTAAATTAATGGGTTACAAAAGAAATACACCTTTGTAAAAGTCTGAGGCGGTTTTTGTCTCAGTTTTCGTTTTCTGTGTGCATCAGAAGATATTTTACTTGTCACGACAGGTTTTTATTATTTCATCCAAGTCTGATGTGGATAGACCGATGACTTGAGGTATCGAAACTGCGGCAACATACTCAAAATCATACAAACTTAAACATGACGGTCGTACAGGTGCATAGTCAGATAAAGATTTGCATTAAGTATTGAATGAATTTTAGTTAATAGATTAAGAATATCCAGCATATCGTTCACGCACTTGATAGGATAAATTTTATTTAAGAATAAAGCAATATTTAGGATCATAAAATTGATAATAATTGGATAAATTAGTACACATAGTACTCAAAACAAGTTCCTGAAGGATGTTTACGTAATATATTTTATTAGATCTTGCCTGTAAAGCTTAGAGAATCTATTAGCTGCAGGAATGCAATGATGTAAAATTGGGATGCTATCCAAATCAATAAAACAGAAGAATTTGAAAACTCCGAAACTTTAGTCGATAACTGTCTTTCACCTTACAAAAACTTTGGAGAATTCTTCAACACGTCTCAGATTTCAGGTACAGACCGGCAAGATGTCGTTGACACCTTTTTTGTAAACTCCCAAGATATCGCCGCCACAAAGGATTTTTAGCTTGCTTCTAAGCATCTGCATGTTTTACAAATTCCAGCTGATAAACATTAATCTGACTTGCAACACTGACAGAGAGTCGAGATCGCTGACAAAATATCCAGACAACTCGGGTGGTCATTTGGCAACCGCACATTCAACTGGAACCAGTACCTATGTCTCAAGTGGTAAAAATACACTTGAAATATTCTTGGAAAAAACTTGGCAGACCTGTAAATTAATCGGTTTAAGGAAACTCCAGATTAAGATGAAGTGTAGCCCTGAAATGAGCCAGTTGTGCGCATTTTTCATTATTACGAATTAGCGAGTGTCGCCAGTAATCGTGGTCGACACTTAACATGCAAAGTGTCTCACGTTAAATCATGATGTGAATAAACACACAGATTAATTCACAAAAATTGTAATGCAAATATAAAATGGTTTACATGACTCATCCATTTGAACTAGGCTAAGATCAAACAACTTCGTAGTGATACAAATGATACTCAGTAGTGCTTATTTTGGGTCCTGGATGTATTTTTGTAATCTTAACCGTCTACTATGCGTTGAGATACTCGTATTAAGGTGTTTATCACATTGAAAACAACATAGTTATACAAATAACGTGTTATGAACTGAGGTTCATGTTGGCAAATAACAACCTAGGCCTTCACACATTGCATGGTTTTATTGGTTCACTGAGCTGGTACAGTTGAACTGGAATAAAGTGTGTGGATACTAAACTCTGGTTTGAAGCACGATTACTATTATTTAAACATCGACGTCGATGATATAAACTTTGAACATGTAATGCATATGGTAACAAATCACTCCCTTTAGCCCTCTATCTTTAACTTTAGATTCTCTCTCATTAGATTTCCACTGTAATAAAGAGAAGAAGACATATGTACATGCTAAAGAAAAAATCTTAGAGTTAGGGACCTACATTAAAGGTCTGTTTCGATTTCTCTTTGGAATAGAGGAAGGAGGCTAAAGCGAAGGAGAGGATATGAAAGATTATGGTATCTTTACACTCTCCTAATATTTTCTCCTTTAGAATAATGGTAATTCTCTCTATTTAGACTCAATCCCTTACCAATTTTATCGGGAGCTCTAATCTAGCAGTTGAGTAGTCTATGTCATACCTCTAAATATTTTGTTTCTTCGGCAACCTTCACACTTGAATGCAAAGACTTCTCTCACGGTTACTCTCAAACTAACTATCTGTGTTTTGCATCCTGTAACTGTCATTCTATTGGAGTTGCTGGAATAAGCTTAAGCAAAAAGGATGTGCTTCTATCTATGTTATATAGCTTCAGATTCACGAGTCTTGCAACCCAGTACTGTATGCAACACCTCAAGATGTTTAGTTAATTACTACCTGTCTAATCCTCCCTCTCTGTTGCAGCCTGCGACTGTCATCCAATCGGAGCCTCGGGCAAGACCTGTAACCAGACCTCGGGCCAGTGTCCATGCAAGGATGGAGTCACTGGTATCACCTGCAACCGCTGTGCCAAAGGATACCAGCAGAGTCGCTCTCACATCGCACCATGCATCAGTATGTATACATTCTTATTAGTTATTTGCTATAGGACGGGTTGTAAAATTGCATTACATTTTGTAAAAGATATTAGGTTATGTAAGGTTAGGCTATGTAAGGTTAGGTTAGGTTGTGTTAGGTTAGGTTCTGTTAGGTTCGGTTGGAAATTGGGGAACTTTAGATCCAGACAAACAATATGGTGCGTGATGGGAAGGGGCCTTGTTAGGTTAGTTTAGGTTAATTTTCTTACGAGATGTAAGTAAAACTATTCATTTCTGTTATTTCGGTGCATTGACTATTTACAATACACATCACCTTCATTTCAATATTTTAAAAAATACCTGTAATTGTGTACGTTTTAGTAACTATTACCCATAACTAAATCGTTACGAATGTGGTATTGTGCAGGTGCCTTACAAAAGGAGTCATAAAGTGATTTGCTTGTATGGAGGAACCACGGAGGATTGTGGGATGAAATAATTGATTATTATTCGTTTGAAAAGTGATTTTTAGTTAAACATCTAGAAGGCGATAAAGGCGTATTAGCAAAACTATACTATGTTGTTAATGTATTGTAGGATTACGTGTATTATTTGTACAGTGAATGTATTCTGTAACTCAAAGAATACAGTGAAAATGTCTTTGTGGAATGTTGGGCTAAGGTAAACTTTTAGAATTGTTTTTCTATTTCTTCTGTGTTTTTATGGGAGAAATGTTTAAACAATTTAAAAACTAGAAAATGTTTGAATACTGGTCGTTATAAGTCAAATAATACAATATTTGCAAGTAAAAAATCCTAACATTGACCCTTAATTTTGATAAGTCAGATTTTTAATAACAGCCATTATTTAAGATTGGTCCCTAAATACACTTCCATCGAACTATTTTCGCATTTATTCCAATCCACAATATTTTCCTAGAAATAAATCTTACATCAAAAGGACTGTTTGTATCGAAAAGGAAGGACGGCAAGAAAACAACATAATGTTGGGTGACACACAACAGACCTGACGAGTATACTGTTACCAAAGTGGGAAAATCAAAAGAGAGTTGAAGGGAGGTGATATGCCAGTCGCTGAGAGATAAACAAATATTTAAAGAGCTGTGAGATACGAAGCGATTAAGCAGGCTTCAAAGGCTTGTCGTGATTTAGAAGGCGCTGGGACCCCCGCCTACTTGATACTTGCCGCCTTGTGTGTCTTATACGGTGGCTTGTGGAGTTTGTAGTTTTGTGTATTTAATGGTTCTCAGTTCACACATGCCTAAGTATTTATGGTAAGATAGAAATGTCTTGAAAAAAATAAATAAAGGAAAATTGTCGGTACGGTGCATACTGTACGTGTTTAAAGCCAATACAATACCTTGGATAAGTAAAGTATTTTAGAAAAGTATCGCAAACAGCGGGAATAAAATAAAAGTATTCAACTTGAAGTTAAAAAAAAATTGTATATGCATTAAGATATTAATTTGTCGCCATGTCTTCAGTGCACTTTAATTCCTCTCAAACGAAATGCACAAAATTGCATTTCCCATGTCAAGGTTTAACAAAATATCAGTTGATCGACCAAATTTATTTGTAGTATAATAAAAGTTTTTACAAAGTCATAAAATTACATACATTTCTGTTCAATTTGTTCATGAAATACAATTTTTTTTTTAATTTCAAAGCATTGAATATGAAGGATTTGAAACAAAGTTAGGTCGAACAATGTAATGCGTCAAATCCTAAACCTTTTAGAAAGCTCTTTCATAGCCATAAATTTAATCAAATTCGTTCTTTATTTCAAAACTTCTAATAATAACTAAACTTAACTTAACTTAAACTAACTATAACTTAACTTCTAATAAACTTTTAATATAATAGAAATATTGTTCAATCATAGCCAACGGGGAGTATTATTTTAAAATACGATAGAAAAAGCACAACAAAAACAATCAAAACACAGGCAAGGTTTATCGAAGTTTAGTAAGAGTATTTTGATTTTTTACATGAAGCTTTACATAAATACTTTTTACAATTAATAAAATGGCTTGTAAACATTAAAATGTATTTGTAGAGGGAAAATATGTTCTACTAGTCACATAATTTACTCTGTAAACATACAAAACCTCACACTCGGTAAACAATCTCCCAACCAATCATATCAATTACAACCCATCTTGACAGAAACTATAACCGTAATTCATTGTGGTCAGAGGATGATGAGAAAATATGAACGGTAACAGGTTTGAGTAGAATCTCGCCACATAACGTTGAGTTGTGGAATCAGAAAACAAATATGAATGGTAAATGAGTTCAAAGTAATAGTCTCAGAAGATAGATTCTCTGGTCTTAAATAACATAACAGAAACAAACCAGTTTTGTTCATCAACTAGTGATAGTAAGAGTACATTCTTGACGTTGTGTGATTGCCATGTTGTAATGTTCTAGAAATAATCGGTATACTGTGTAATAATGTGGACTTGTATGAGTATTGCTTTTTCAATATTTTATAAACAATGTTAAGGTTTTTGAGCTGAGAAACATTTTTACTCAATGATTTCCTGAAACGTAAATGCCTGCACTGTAGTTATAGATGAGCATTTGAACTAAATACATACCATTACATAATTACTTTCCGTAAATTACCTTTTCCATGTCAATGCATTCCAATTTTGTTTTTCTGCGTAGCTGTTTTATATATTAGCCTGTTTTAATTAAATTAAAAAAATTTAAACTGTTTCAACTAGGTTTAGTGGTTAACTGATCGGGACCCTCTTACCATCATTTATAGTAAATCTAGTGGACCCGGACTTAGAAAAACTGTTTAAAATACATCGAATGAATAACATATCGATGAGTAAAACAACCAATAGCGAGTGCCGTCCTGTTCTTTGCCGTGGGGTTCACGATCTGTCAAAACTGTCAAGGTAGGCCCGAGTGCCGTTTGACTCCCCAGAGCAAGAGTGATTCAGGGGTATTAGTGAAAGGGGTTTGGAGAGCTAGTTTGGAGACCCAGTTTGGAGAGCTAGGGAAGTATCAACTAGAACAAAGTTAAGAATATTTAACACCAACGTAAAGTTAGTTTTACTTTATGGATGTGTCTAACAATTCGTGAACCAGTGCTTAAGAAGAATCTTAAGAATCTATTGGCCAGAAGTACAAAAAGAAGAAACCCAGAAGTGGTTGATTTAATTGTAATTTTCATATTATTTTTCACTGACTAAACCACCAAAAGATTTAATCTTCATAATTAATTGCCGTGTACTGTGTACACTTTGACAACCATGACTGACCAATTAGGCATTTGTGTTGCAATTCTTTTTGTGTTTACCCTGTCAGCTGTTGACTGCAGAGTTACCGGGTGTCTTGTTAGTCAAGTTTTGACCGGTCATTCTTTATATTTACAATGCCAGGATAAACCAACGATCACATTAGTCTTATGTGATCGTTGGGATGAACTGCCAACGACATTATTACTTCTAGTTGATATAGAATTATGTACAGTAAGTATTTAATGTCGTTGGCAGTTCATCCCAACGATCACATAAGACTAATGTGATCGTTGGTTTATCCTGGCCATGATAATAGAGTAACTGTGTTCATTCCCTATGATTCAGGAGTTGCATTCATGATGTTATTTGAGTTATTACACCTCTCAACGAAACATTCCCTGCTTTAAACATACTTCATAGCTAAAACAACATAACTCTTTTCTAACAATACTTTCATTGTGTTCAAAATACGTTTTAAAATGGTCTTATGGTCTGTTAAATATTCGTTACTGTTCTTATTAAGTATCAACTACAAATGAAAATTTAACAGATAAAAAATACTCTACAAAATATTTGAATGAATCACATTGACCAAAGACTGCTCTCAGGTAATTATATACTAATGATTTTAATCGAGCAAAGCTCGTTCCCCTGGTACTAGAGTTATAATTAAACAGGTGGCCAAACAGGTGTGTGTCATTAAAATACTTGCATCGGCTCGGCAATACACACCAAGTTAGCATTCTTTTTGATAGTTCACTGATATATTTATTTAATATAGGACGAGCTTGACGTGGACATGTTAGTGTTGTCAGTTTTGTTATCATTGTTTGTGTTTTTACAAGTGGTGGCCGTTGACACTTCACAAGATGAAAACCTGAACTGGAACGTGAACCGTGTGGTGGATCGGTTGGAAAAAAAATTAAAGGAAACAAATTATCCCCGAAGAATTTCAGGTAAATACCAATTCAAAGAAAAAATCAACACCGGTGAGGAGGACTTTGATGGTCAGGTAGTCAAACCAGCTCATGTTTGTGGATGCGTTGACGGGATGACCTTGTCAATTTCAAACGCAGAATGGAAATCTTATTATTCAGTCAATGGGAGATTCTTTGACAATATAATATTCAAAACTGTGACTTTGCATGTTAATTCATTTCATATATCGAAGAAAGATTACAAGCTATTTGATCTGGGACGTTGTTGCAGTCAACCACCCTATGCTACTTTAACAGAATTTAACGTCCCAATTGAAGTGAGACCGTTAAAATTTCAGATAGTGAAAAATTCGAATATGGTCGAATGCAATCTTTCTTGGAGTACAAGTACGAGAGGTAAAAGTGAAGAAACAGTGAATCTACCCGTACCTACTAGAAAGTCTATTTCAGACACAAACGAAAATCCTACTTCAGTCGGTAGTGAAAAGGCAGAGGGTGTTATCCCTTATGATAATGGTAAGAAGTATCTTGCAGGAGTCCTCAACACTATTCGTGATTCAAAAGCATTCCAGGCTATTTTCAAACAACCGTTTGTAGATGCAACAAAAGGTCAATGCCGATTTAGTGACAAACGTCGTTGAAGCTCTGTAAACAGGTATGGAAATATTTACGATTTTTATTAAACTGATTTCAGAGGAATACTCACTTGATTTATTGTCCAAAATACTATGCGTATTTAAACTGTAGTCTTAAAAAAATTATATCCTATAAAACAGTACCTGTTAAACAGCAAATCTAATTTTAATAAAGATTTCACTTTGAACT